AATAACTCATACAGAAAAATGTAGAATTATGTCATGTTACTCTGAATGTGAACACCTCACTGCAGGAAATAATACTGCAGGGAATGAGACTGATGATGTGATTGATGATGGCAATGTTACTGTAACTGATGATAAAATACATGTAGATGGTAAGAGATCTAACAATGGAGATACCATGTTTAAACATACCAACAAAACATATCAAATTGAACAACAAAATATGAACAGCAAATTATGTTATCTGATCCAGAAAGAATACCTCTCCACCCTGGATAAGGCTGCAGGAGATGAACCTCATGAGATGATTGATGAAGTTCCTCCTGCCACTGATGATGGATCTACTGATCATGCTGATATAATATGATGTAATCTCAGCACCTCAAGCCAGACATGTCACGGTGGTCATATTAGTCTCGTCTGCATAACAGGGATTGGAGAAACTGAGAAAACTCACCAAGGAATAGAGTTACTTGCCAAGTCGCCATCATTGATGGGATAGGGCCTCAATGTAAGAATATAACTTACTATAGTATCTAACTTTTAAGAAATTAGGGTTATTTTGAGGAATAACCATCATCATTTTGCATATCTTTGACTAAATTCATTCTTCAAGATCGGACTTCACTGCTATAGCAGTTGGAGAAAGTATTGAAATACCATTGGACCAAGGATGAGTTAATTGTCTCTGGCATTTTTCCAAAAGGGCAATGAAGGTTCAGTATGAAAATGAGAACACAATAGGAAAAAACAAAATAATTGTAATTGCATAAATGTAAATGATTGATCACCGAAAGAACAAGCTGAACCTCAATATTTCAGAAGCTCTAAAGCCTGTAATTGTTTATTTCCAACATCCACATGGATGCTAACAATAAATTAAGGAATGTCAAACCTCATACCCTAATTAGCTACAAACAAAAGCTCTTGTTACAGTTGACTTTCAGCCAAACATACATCATTAAGGAGATTATTTTACAAACAACGTTTTATGAAACCTAAATCTGTTTCCGATATTTCATTAAAAATGTTACCACAAAAATGAGGAAATCCTCTAATATGAGACATTTCCCAGTGGGTCCTGGTAGGAAAGTTTGCAGAGATCATGAAATATTATATTTCAGCATTATCTGACGTTAATATCTGTTGATCTATAGCCTCTGTTCAATGCTGGAATAAATGCATGATTTTATCAAACATCAAGGATTTAAGTTCTGTATAAAATATGGTTCAAACTTTGTACTTTGCTCAATAAAGTTTATCATAATCGACATTGGGAATGATTTCAATAATATTAGCTCCTGGGTGAAGTTGCATATTATGATGATAACTTCACTCATAATGCAGGCCTTTCAACTGTCCCGCAATTTGCGTATTTGTCACACATTTGCTGAAGAATTTGAAGTCACGCCAGTTATTTTTGCGTGACAGAAAATGTCACGCAAATACACATTTTACCTGGTAATTGTCAAGCAAAAATATTTCTGTAGAAAATTTTCTAAAAAAGATCGTCTACACAGCAAAAATACGAACGACGGGAAAAAACGTACGCATTTCGTTCGGACTTTTCACGCGAATTACGGATATGTCACGCATTCCGTTCGAAATATTTTGTACCTATTTTGGACCAAGGTGTCCACATTTTGAGGGGAGGTGTTCAACATTTCCAAGTCACTCATGTTAGGTGTTCCCAAGTTGACAGGCCTGATAATGTTACCCTTATGTTTGATCAAAATGAAATATCACCATAGTAACTTTAATCTTGTCTGTTGAAAGAAGATTATCAGAAAAATCTGGACTCCCTGAAATACAATCTCAATCAGCACCCAAAGAAAGTGCTAAAATTGGCCTCATTTTGGGACTATACATGGGATTGTACGGAACTGACGGATAAAAAATCCAAATCAGGAAACAAGGCATTATGCCCAGTTGGGAAAACTTGAACCATTTAATCAATTTGAATCACCTCAAGTTTCTCCAGATTATTGCAAAAAAACACTCTAGTATAAATTACTCATAAAAATTGAATTTGGTGGTTTAATCAATATAAATGAATAAAATCACCCACACTCCAGTCTTTCTAGGAGGTATGCAAGGGGATTGTTGGAATTATGCCCAAACCCGACAACAGAAAAACAACAAAAACAATAGGGAAACAATCAATTATCCTTTATAGAACTTATAACTACGATTCAATTGTTCAAATTCTAGTGTTAGCCTGACATTGGATCTTTGGTCTGACTCATTCAGTCCCTTCAATACCCTTTCAGATTTTTCAGTAATTTATAATCTCAAGAAATTTCGTAATTTCCTTCATGTCCATAGTTAAGTAACGTCACAGAGGTATGATTATGTGGTCAATCATATATTACACTGGGGCCCATTGTTTTATATAATATCACGTCATTGATGGATTACTCTGAGTTAAATTAATTTGAGCGTGAAATGTAATCAAAATGACGCTCAGAATTTGATTACAGTTATATAACTCCTTATGCAAATAAGGTGAATTATTAAGATGTCCATCTGAAATGAAATTATTATCTCATATGGCCATTATATCATATGAGTCACTCATGTGTTAAGAGCTCATATGAGTGGGATTTCGGGTTCCTGTTACATACTGTGATAACAATGGATGAAATAGGAGTTCTGGTATAGAGTCCGATTTGATTGTTGTAAGACATGATAGACTTTACACTTGCTCTATTGGGTAGGAGGTGAGCTATAATGATTATTACATTGTGAACTGTGTGGGTAAAAAGGTCACATAAAAAACCCGAAGTTACAAGTTACAGATTGGCATTTTATAACACGTTGCCACAAGGCATTTACATGAAAAATGTTACAACCAATTTGCAACTCCAAAAGTGCAACAATATTGACACCAAATGCTGACGGCTATACCATGCAAATACCAGACACCCGGGGCCAGACACAAAAAAGCTTTTGATGTCACAACTTGATGGTGTCATGAAAATGTATGTAGCTCATACCTGACAACAAGCGTTCTTTATATGGTCATTCCTTCTGACGTCATCTTTGAGCCCGGAATTGACCAATGACATGCGCATATTTAATGAGAACGCATTTGGCGTATGTTTCTTCAAGCTCGCTGATTGGTGGAAGGTCAGCGCGTAGGTCAAAAGTGATTTACCCAAACTGTCACCGGTACCCGTCGTGAGGGCAGGGCTACTAAATTATGGTCTCTACTAGGCAGAGTGTAGTTTAACTAGACTCTGCACGCAGGGTAATGACATACAGGGATTCATATAAATTATTAGTATAATGATATGAAATAAATATGACTGGAGACTGTTTTCTGAGATCCTAGCATGATGATATCCACATGCTACATTATGTTTTTTTACCCTTTAAATTGTACTTAATATTCCATCCATCTGCCACAGAGAATATATCTGATACATCAGTTTAAAATAAAAACTAATAATAACAACTTTGTACGATCATGATGATCTGTTTAATTACAACCAGTGGTACTCAAAAGATTCTTCATATCATGCCCTATGTCAATCCTCTTTTTCTCTGTTGACATGGAAACAAGATCTTTGCACAGACTACCATGGCGACAGACAGTGACTCATTCATTTGTATGCACCTACAATGCCCGTCCCTATAACATAATACTGCAGTAGAGCTATCAGAAGCAGAGTGCTTACACAATAAAATCCCTTGAGCTCTACAGGATATTGTCTTTTTCAAGCAGGAATTCAGATTCCACTCATAGATTCAACAATTAAGCACTCTGAGGTGTTGCGGTTCCTCCAAGCCATGGTTGCCATAGAAACACATGTTCAGACTTGTTTTTTAAAGTAGCCCTGAGGTCTCACTTTACTTTTTACTTATTTATACAATAACTCTTACCAGACACTTAACCAAGTCTAGGATTATTCACTTATCCATTATAACATTGATTATTTTCACAAATATGGGACATTAAATGATTCCATCAACAAAGATGAAATAAGATTGTCCAAGAAGCAATTTTTACTTTTAGCAGTTATTAATTTAAAAAAAGTAAAAACAAACAAAAATTGGTAATCATCTTACAAAACAATTGCATGGTATACATGACGATATAGTCGCTCCTCATGCAATTATATTACCCATCTTCATAAATAACCAATGCCTCTTACTCATAGTTATTCATCGGACTGTTCTGTGCTAACATATTGCAATAGGATTGAGACAGAGAGTAGGAGGATGCTAATGAGATTGTTCCTATTGTGGATAAAATGTCAGCACAAATCGAAATATACAATTAATGCTAATGAAAACAACCTGCAAAGACAGGACACAAATTAGTCTTAATGTCTGTAGAATACATAATAAAGATCCTGTTGCACTCATTCTGATACTCATCTCATATTTTTTATTTCACTCAGTCTGAGAAGAAATAAGATACCATGGTTTATCAGGATGATTGCACTGGGTTAAAAGGACTAGTCATTCCAAGCATTCATTCCAATGATAAAACCCATTGTGCATGAAACATGAATAAAACTCTGAACCACTTTTGAATACAGTAAAACCTGTAAAATCTGAACGCCACTGGAATGTGCCAAAAATGGTTGAATTAGCAACTGTTCATATTTCAAGGTTTAAAATGTGCATGTGAGATAATAAAATTGGGACCAAAAAGTGTTCATATTGAGAGGTATTTGGATATAATGGTTTCACTGTATACTATCGTCCCATAAGATCATACATTATCCACTGAATGGAATACTTCCAGATTCAGAATAAGAAAGGAAAGACAGAAAGTACAAAGCTGAACCTGCAGCGCTCTTTGACCAGAGGATGTCCAATGCTGAACCATACTCAAGCCCAATATTCTCTATTGGAACATGCACTCTGCAAACATTAAAATAGCTGCAAACAATGTTGGATATGCCATATCCTTCCATAGATTCTCATTTTTCATTTAATGAATTACCAATCTGTAAAAAGACCTAACAACATGTACAAGACATGGTACTTACCAGTTAACCTTGAATATAGACTTTCAAATCACCAGCATTTCAGATCTCACGTGGGTGTTCAAGTTCGGATCTCTCACTTCAATGTACTTGACTCAATTCCACTCAAATCCAAACAGATCCAAAGTAGCGTCGTAATCCTTAGTTTTATATATCTGAAACCAAAACTTAAATCATTAAACTGCCTCCTTATTCTATATTTTCTTACTTTTTAATTGATTTCTATCTTAATGCTAATTTTTCTGCTTTACTAAAGTTCTTGGTTTGAGTTTCTAGGTGCTTGATCCTGACTAGGTCTGCCTAATGCAGAAGCAAGGGAATGATATGTGCGTTGACTGAATGTGAGGTATTTGATATGATTGCAACCCTTTACCCTGTGGTTGGGGTTATCACTAACCACTCAAAATGTTGCTTCTCTGATCAGTGATAGACAAAAATAAAACTGATAATCTATAGATTCATTTTGATCCAAGAAGGTATTTTATCATTATGGGACCACAGCAGGGGAGGAGCTGAAAAATAACAAAGAAGGGGGGGAATTTCAAGTCAGAAAAAAAACTTTTCGCATTTGTGCGAGAAAAGATAATAGGCCCTTTAAACCAAGAATTGGGCCCTTTTGAAAATTCAAGGCCTTCAATTAAAAAATGAGGGCTAAGAAGGCCTACTTATCTGGGCCCTAAGATACTTGACCATCCCGTAATCCACCTGTGCAATAGATAAAGAGTGACTCTGATGAATCAGAATGGTATTTCATGAGCAAAAGGAATAAAAACTGATAAGAGGTAATCTTTAGAATATCACAAAATTTTAAATAGATGGAAAAAGATGGAGGATGGCTAAAGAAGGGGAGTTGATTCCAGAAGATGAGGAAAACGAGAATGGAGACATAGGGCTTGTGGGGGATTTTGTGAAATGTGTAGCTTAAATTTACAAATAAATTAATTGAATCATTTCTACCCTGAATGAAGAGCATGAGTTTGAATCTCTGAAGGAGAACCTTGTTTGTGCTAGAATTTGAATCACTAAAGGAGATGTTAGATACTACAATTTAAGCTGGTCCCGAGTCTCAGTGTTCAATCCAGATGGTCCGTATCTACATGAACTTGAGAAGTGTGTGACAAGGTTTAGCCACATAAAAGTTTGGAATATTGTTTCAACACTTTAAAAATTAATCATAAAGAAACCTGATTTATGAGCCAATTAAAAAGGTTCATATAAGCCATAGCAAACTGTACCTGTATCTGGATAAAGCCTGTATTTGTAATGCAAAGCGAGAATGAGCTAAGAACAAAATGACATATTCATAACACATGTAATAGATTGGTTCTGGTAAGTCTAAACACAGGAAGACCCTGATGGTATTAACATTGACATTTTTATTGAAACATGACACGAAGGAAATAATCCAAATAATCCTAAAAATGTTTATGGCAAAAATAAAATGAATGTAGGACAAACACTAAACAGAAAATTGCCACATGCCGGGAAATATGTTGTACATTACCCTGCGTGCAGAGTCTAGTTAAACTACACTCTGCCAAGCAGAGACCATATTACAGTTTAGTAGCCCCGCCCCCACGATGGGTACCGGTGACAGTTTGGGTAATAAATCACTTTTGACCTACGTGCTGACCTTTCTTCCACCAATCAGCGAGCTTGGAGAAACATATGCCAAATGCGTTCTAATTAAATATACACACGTCATTGGTCAATTCCGGGCTCAACAATGACGTCAGAAGGAATGACCATATATAGAACGTCGGTCAAATTTGGCCGACGAACACTGATTGGCGCGGTGAGTTCACAGGTTTATTTCAGTTTGAAAGAGTGAAGACGAAGCTCTCATTTAAGAAGTGAAGTCAAACGAATGCAAAGGGTAGTTGTACATGTAATTTGATGCCAAAGACACAACCTTGAATGATCTTTCAGTTTTTCTTTCTTCAAAGACATTTTCTGTTGGTTGTTAAATTATGTGTGCCAACTGGGAGGGCTTGTTGTAACAGTCACATTTGAAGTATGGCATTTGTTTTGTTTTACTTGACATCATGCTGAATTATATGCTAATACCTAATTTGTCATCTGCTTTTCATAACTCCAATGAAATCTTTTTCAAACACTAAAAAGTTGACTTAAAATATCTTAATAAATATGGTAATAAAAGATGGCTTATTAATACAAAAAGATTTGTTCTGGCAATAAAATGGCTTGATCTACTAAGGAAGGGCCCCCTGGCCCCCTGGATCCACCAGTACCTATATGAGAATGGAGCAAAGTATTTTAAAAGAGGCACCATTTGGGAATCAAGGGTCTAATTATAAATATCTTCTGTATGCTAGCCTCATTTAACCAAAAGACATTGTATCTGACCCGGTGAGGTTGTAGCTACTGAAACCTTGTGAATCAAGATGACCAAGACTGCCCCCAGGATTCCGTGTTTGCAGAGCGGGACGGAATTTGCCTCTGCCCGCGGAATTGCAGAATCAACTATTTTGGTCAATTTCCGCGGAATTTTCCGCAGAATCCATATATTTTCCAAAAGTTTAAAAAGTCAGTCTTACCTGTAACAATTTGACACGTTTTCAGTCAAATCCCTTGCAGAAATAACCCAAATTATGCGAAGTGAAAATTCTAAACGCCATCGTTTGATTTCTGCCGTTAGATGGCAGCATGTATGTAGTGACTGACTACCTGACTATCACGATATTTTCCCGTTTACTGGTTCGAAAACCATTAGTTTTTCTTTCGGTTCTCGTCAGAAAGTTAAACAAAGACATAAATTAATAACAGTTATTTATATTATTAAGTTATTGATCGAAAACTTCGAACTCCAATGAGATATTACACTTAAAACCTGATTTACATATATCGTGACTCCCATTATGCGCCCGATCCTCCGTGTTTGAAGTTTCGAAAAATGTGAAATTTGAAATAAAATCTGAATAAATATAAAACATTTAAAATGGATCATGTTTTTAGAATATATGATACTGTTCTTGTTAAACCAATCTTGATTTTTTTTATAATAACCGCAAAAAAATGCCGCGAATATCCGCGGAATTTCTGCAGAATTAGCCCTTTCTTCTTGCAGAATTCACTAATTTCACTTGCAGAATTGAGCATTTTAACTTGCAGAAAACTGGGGGGAGTGAAGAGGTGAAAAAGGAAACTGATACAAAACTCAAACCAGCATTCCATATTACAGATTATATTACAGAAATGTGTACAGTATATATCATAGAAATTCCAATCCACGATGATGCCCCTTGCTCCCATAGGCCATTGTTTGGTCTATCAATACAAACATTGTCAATGAATGGTAAAACAAGGGCCTAATGACCAGTGGGCAATGGATTGAGATAATGGATTAATTGAACACGTTAGATTGGATGGTTGGCTACATTGTGATGGAGATGTCTGTCATCTGATTGAGCTAATCAATGTTACCCTGTTCCCAAATAGCTAAAAACATGGATCCTCTGACTTTTAAAGATGAGTTTGCAGTTACAGTAAAACCTGTATATAGTGAAAACCTATGGAGCCACAAAGAAGTATTCACTATAGGTAGGTGTTCACTACAGAGGGGGACTTTTATACAGGAGTCAATGTAAAATGTGTCTTGAAATGGTGTTTACTAAGTACAAGTGTTCATTAATGAGAGGTGTTCACTAAGACAGGTTTTACTGTATATTCAATAGCTGTAGTCTAGCTAGAAGCCCCTGTGACCCCCCCCTCACTATTTGACTACACACCTTCTCATACAGGGACGGGATGAGGAGTGGAGGGGGGTCACAAGGGCTTGTAGCTAGATTACAATAGCTGTTTTGTTTAAGATCATGTCACACCCCCACATGCCCAACAGCACAAGATTTTACAATACTGTATGAGCCAAAAATCAGTAAAAACAATCATAACCTCAATTCTATACAAAAAAGCTATTCAAGCAATGATTTCCACATCCAAGTTAATCAATTCATTCGGTGACAAAACAACCAATATCACGTAATATAAGATTGTAATCAATTAAGTAAAAGGATTATTGACAAAAATATGTGTGACATCACATTTTCGATAACAACATCAACAGGGAACTTGATTTCAGTTATCAATATATCTCCTGTTTCTTCTACACCATTTTTGTTTGCAGTAAGCTTTATTTTCACAGCATTGCTCAGTTTCTTTGGATATTTATTTCATTAAATATTGACCAGGCATGGTATGTTTTTCCAAGTTGTTTTTTCAGTAAATAGACAAACATGGATGAAAAGCACTTCTGAGGCGACTCCATCTACTTCAACCTTGCTTTGTCACCAACTCTATTATAGACATTAGCAAAACCATATTCAATGTACCCTTTGGAAAAAGTCTTTAATTTACTATACTCTTACATCATGATAAACCATGACATCTCATTTCTTCTCAGCCCTGAGATGGTGAAACAGAGAGATGCTATTAGTATCAGAATGATACTCTTTAAGATAAGAGATATTTCTTTGATAAGCCAGCAAACTATTCCCTACCAACATTCATTTTACATAAAACTCCCAAAAGGCTATAAATAGCATTAAATGAGATTGCTAAGATCTTCTTAAAATCAAACCATTATAAATTATCTTCAAAAGAATGTGTAAGCATTCTATCTGAGTCTATTGGGCTTTACACTTTTAGCACAAATACCACGAACAACATTATACATTCTATATTAGAAAATAGTGTAACATAAAGTTGCTTCTGATTAACCCCTCCTCCCCCGCACCCCCCCCCCCCTCTATCTATCTCTCTCTAGGCATGTGTAATAAGACTAATCAGTATAATTGTAACAGCTTCAAATTCATTTTTGTGAGAATATAATCAGGTTTTATGAGCCATAATTATTACAGTATAACCTATTTAAAATCTCAACTGTCAATATAGTGTATTTATTTCATAAAATATTTTGCCTAATAATAAAGTACCATAATTTATTCTAAAAAAATGTAAAACTATTGTGCCATTAAATAAAAAAAGAATAATGAAGTTAAAACCTATAATCAAAAATACAAAAAAATACTGAAAATATTAATTCTGTTACATACCTTTGGAATATCTGTAAATAATGAGCTATAATCGATACAAGAATTTTATATGAAGAATCTACTGATAAAATCCAGTGATAACCATCTAAATCTATAGTTTTGCACAATATTACCTGAAGGATAAAGCTGATCCAATCTTTCCGGCTGTTCTAATAATCCAAATATCAATTCAAGTAAGAAAGTCTTATGATTAAGCCACCAAGAATGATTTCCCTTGAAACACAATCCTAGTTCTTGAGTTTGATTTCTTTGATTCGTGTGTCTTGATTTTTTCCTTCAGTTGACACTGTTGTGTTGAAGAACAAGAAGCTCTGGGAAAAGTTTTGTTGATGTTTATATCACAACATCGCCTCCTGTTATGCTGTTAAATTCTGAGAGTTCTAAGAACACACACTAGCATTGATTTGGTGAAACTTCCAGTGAGTAATAGTGGGCTCTCAATCTATAATTATCCAGTACCTATAGCTCGTCAATGGTCTGCGCTTGAATAGACCAATCAATACTCTGCAAGGACAGCCGCAATTATGCTCAAAGATATCTTCATTTAAAGACCAAATCCCAATCTCATGCAGTGCATCTTTTATGGCCAGTGTGAAGGTATTCAGAAATTCCCTTACAGAGGTTGAACATCAAATCACCATGGAAACATGAAAAATCACCATGGGAATGTGAGAATCAGTCATTATATAACAAATGTTACTTATTCACTTCATATTCGCCATTGCAGAAACTTGAAAATATAATAGTTTTACGATAATGGCATGGGAAGTTTAAGATTTCATGACAAACACTAGAACTGATTCTCTGAAAGGAAAATTATTGATGGCGAAATCTATATTTATTGCCAAAGTGATGATTTTACCAAGCAGATAGTTGAGAGGATGATTTGAAATCCAGAAACAAAAAAATGAATAATGAGCTAGTGTTTATGACCAGCTATCATATAAATCAGAAAAATGTAATAAATATTCTGTTCTTTAATTTAAATATGCTTATATTACAAATATTCATTAATTATTTGTCTATGGTAAATATAAAATAGATAGCTTCTATCTGACATATTAAATGATTTATTAAGTCCCATTTCTCTTAACGTCATTTTAACCAGTTTTATGGTAGAAGTTAAAGTTGTGTTTTGAAACCGTAGCATAAGACGTTTTATCAATATGGCCATTATCAATCGGAAAGAAGATTTCCAATATTCTTTATCCTTATCCAATATTTGTTTAAATCAAATCTGGAAAGATAAACGATCTGCAGAAAGCAAATTAATCCCAGAATTGTCAGAACGACCAAAGATACCAGATAAATGGCAAGATATTGGAGAAAATGATGAGTATTTAACCTAATTATAACCTGATGACTCATCCACTCTGATCTGTGTTTCTCAATATTAATAAATCATATATGACATGTATTCCTTCTAATATCTCGACCTATTCTGGCCTTTGCAAAAGCCTGAATAAGAGATGGTTATTTGATAGTTATATTCTTTTTCTACTGGCAATGATATCAAAGCATGATACATCAGTCTATGCACAAACCAATCTAACAAAAATAATTAATAACATGAAAATGCATGGATAAACTGAAGCTACATCTAAATGGAAATGCGAAACGAACTGCTGCATGTTAGCTGCATGAAATCAGTACATTTTCTATGATAGTATATTTTCTGTAACAGTACATTTTCTATGACAGTACATTTTCTGTGATAGTTCATTTTCTATGTCAGTATATTTTCTGTGATCTACATTTTCTGTGACAGCACATTTTCTATAACAGTACATTTTCTGTGACAGTATATTTTCCATGACAATACATTTTCTATGACAGTACATTTTCCGTTTCATTAAATAGCTAATATTACTTTCCCAATGCAATTACCATAAAAACATAGAGCAGCATTTGAGATCATGAAGATAGCATCAAAACCCAAATGCCATCCATAATAGTCAAAGCATAGTGAAGATTCAGGGTGGACCTTTTCCAAAAACTATTGAACCAGCATAATAAAATCATTCATTCTGGTTTATCAGAGCCCCTCTTTATCAAAACTGCTTGTATCTCTATTCCAAGGGATAGTACTTGTAGAAACTGGATCCCACAATGCCATTTCATATTCCTTGTGAGAGATTCTTTCGATTGATTTCCCTTTGAAAATGACAGAGATATACTCAAGTGTGCCACCCACGTTTTCAATAAATGCGCTAGAAGAAAAACTGTATTTATGCTGGAAAATAGAGAATAAATAGAAGCCTTTGTTATATAATTATTCAATCCTTACATTCTAGGAAACCAACTAAGAGGTACTTGAGGGATGTAATTAAAGATTCAATAATCCCAAATATGATTTTCTATACAATAATAGAAATAATGATACAGTGATGTTACTTTGACAAACAAAACAAGGCATTAACATGCAAAATGTTTTCACACATTTCATGAAACATACTAGTATTCTACCTTTTGTTCTGCAAGTAAAGTATTCTCCCTTATTGTCTAGAAATCAAGTACATGTATTCTCAGTCTCCTGTATTTCTGTTTGAGTTGATAAATGGAAAAATTATATATGAGATGTAATAAAAATCAATGCATTTTGAATATTTCATATTACAATCCTTCTGGGGGTATCAATTTATCTAATCTGTCAAAGAAAACATAGTTGATGTGAAATGATGAAACAAACATTAATCACCATAGTGATAGCTTATGACATGCTTGTATATGAAATACATTTGTGCTGCATGAAGGCATATCAACGAGAATATTAGAAAAAATGGGTTATGTTAAAACTCTTTCAATTTTCTCCCCAGCATTATATTAAAGCTGCATCCAGTTGAAAGAATTTGGATGCTTTGATCAGTCTTGGACACCTCTTACATTAGTCAAAAGACATTAATGTCATCTTTCAAAATAGCTGTAAACTTGCCAAACTGTGAATGAAATCAACAATAAATTGCTTCACTACTTCTATAAAGGCACAAATAGTACAATAACGTCATTTCTAAGGGCAGTATAGTGAAATATTACCAGGACTGAAACAGCAAGAAACTCTTACGCACTGAACGATATCTAATTTCCCAGGGAAAATTGCCGGTCGAGAATTGCATTCTCGACCAGTCTGAAATGCATTCTTGACAACCACTATGACGTCACATATTGCTCAGGTCGATATAGTAAAATGAACGCCTTCTAAACTAGCACTAAAACCCCTAGAACTGGCCCGGCAAGGTGGTAATAATATAAAATAAACGTAAAATAACACATATAGTGCATGTACATTGGCTGAAATCTTTCTCACATATTCGGTTAATCTTTGACCACATGATAGTAAAATGTGAGCGAAAACAGTCTAAATGTGCCGGATACACTGCTATGTTTTCAACCCTCCTTTCAGCACATACTTTGAATAAGATAGTGAATCAATATTTAGTCTCTATTTATAGGACTACAGACACAACCGAATGTAGGAATGCAGGTGTAGTGAGGTTTGCTGCAAGTTTAATACACTCAAATTGAAGTTCACGTAATTTCTTGTCAACTACATTGTATTCAAATTAGAATCTACGAGGATGATATTATGACATGGTATTTTTTCAAATATAGATTGCTGTATAAGAAAGGATATGAGATGAGTATCAGAATGAGAAGATGATTTTTATGAATTATCAACTTTTTTTCTCATTAAAGCAAGTCAGTTCTTCCTTTATTCAAAAATCTCGAACAGATTGCCTCTCACTCCCAGGCATTTCCATATGTCCCTTAAGTATGAGGTATGAAATTTTGCCTCTTAATTTTCAAAACCTAAAATCATGCTATAGGTCTATAAAGCTAGCAAAACACCAGAACCCATAAATTAAATGACACTTCCCAGAACCCATAATAAAGAGACCTTCTTGACTTTTTTAAGCCATAAATTATCTCATCTCAGATGGGACTGCCATTAAACCATTCAGAGGCACCATCCATCAATATCCTAATTGAAAATAACACACACAAAAAACAGGATCTCATCTACCTCTAAAATCTATAAAGACTTTAGTGATATGTATGTTTGATATTAATCAATATATTCACACTCACCATTACATTTTACATTTTTTGCATGACTGATATATTCATTAAGATCAAGTTCAATAGTTTTCCATGACTCATCCAGAATATTGGCATATTAACAATAGATCCAAACACTGGGGTATATTATGACTATTGTGTTTGATATATTAATGTATACATAAAAAACAAAAGTAGGGTGGGACATTTTCTTTATCACGGGAAATCAGGCCTGCAAAAATACCTCACAGAAGTGTACCCTCTGGCATGTCTGGATAATGTCAGGCTTTCTCATAAAATTGTTTCTGGATTTTTTTGTTCACAAAAATGTGTATACTATACACAAAATATTTTAGCAGGGTATCTATGGTAATATCAAGGTCAATAGTGTCAGATGGTCAAAATGATGTTATGGCATGTTATGTAATAAACAAGAGATATATGCAGAATATAACCATTTTCTTATGTTTATTTTTTCTTTTGCCTCTTCCAAACCCTTTTTCGACAATTTGCTTTTTATGGATTTAGGACCATCTGCCCAAGAGATTAGCCAAAGCTGCTATTAACAAATTATGTGTTCTGTAACATATTAGACATTATAATTAATGCCAAAATAAATTATCATAACCCCATAAATTGTTTTTCTATAATTATGTAAGGACAGCTGGTTTTAGCATAAGAATACTACCAGAGAATAATTAACATACCAAAATTCAATTATTCCTTCTAATGCAATGATCAATCATAACCAGTCCAATGCAAAGCCCCAAAAATACCCTTACTCTTCAATTCATTAAAGGCTAGGGTAACATTTTAAAATATTTAAATATAGAACACAAAAAAACTTTTTTTCAAAAGTCAACTTTAAATGAAACTGTCTCAAATAATTTTTAAAGTCATCAAAGATAATATTTGGGTGGCTGAACAATATTTTCAAACTTTACATCAGGCCTTTAAATGGGCCAAATCCCTTATGAGGCCCTGCAACCAAATGTGAACCTGTCAGTTTGATTGAAGCCTCTTGCTTGCTTCATGAAGCCTTGGGTCATTGGTATGACAGTTATAGCCAGTAATCACTTGCTAGGAACAATACAGAAGCATTAAAGCATTACAGATTTCACAAATTGATTCTGCAGAGATTAGTTTTACCCAATCATGCATGGAAATGTATTACTATGACTGTTCATGCATTCACCATTTAGGTTCATTATCATTATTTTGTTTGTTATTCACATAATGATATTGCGTAATGTTGAAGTGAGGACAACAACAACAGTATCTAATTGAGGCTTTCTCATGAAAGATGCAAAGACACAACTACCTTAAAACACTTTGTCTTCAGTCTTTTTGAAGTACTCCTCCAGCATCAGGATCGAA